AAACGAAGGGCTTTGCACTCTCTCCCTTTCTCACCTCATTTTTCCCCACACACCTTAACTTGTACTCTCCAATTGCCTGATCACACCAACCTTGACCTCCCAATCTTCTTCCATATACCTTTTTCCCCATTTAAACCATGAAGAGACCATCCTCTGCAATGTGATCCACATGAACGTTCCCTTGTCTTTCTCCAGTCAAAAAGTGGATTCTTCCAAGAAGAATTATCTTCAAACTCTGCCAGGTGGTGGCTATCATTTCACATTTTTCCTTTTTTTTTTTTTTTAATAAATAGCAGAATTAATAAACAGCAAAATTAATACCATCTGTCTGTACCTGTAACTTCGGTCCTCAACAAGAAAACTGCTGCCATTGAAAGGTCAAGAAGTAAAGTGTTGAAGTATCTATACCTCAAGATGTCACAGATGAAGTAGGAGGCAATGCATCTGAACACATGGCCGGGTACAGACATAGCAAGGGACATTTGGCTGCTGTCTTCACATGCCACGCTGACATGCCTCAAGGCTGACTTGTGTCAGCACAGCTGCTTGCATCTCTAAGTGTCTGTTTATGGGCCTGGCTCTCAGGCATGATGCTCTCTTTTCTAACAGCCCTGTCTGCCTCTTCTAAAGGAGAGTACTGGGATACCTCAATTCCCTAAACAACAGTTCCACTGCCCAGAGGTGATGGTGTTGATAATTTGTAATTGTGACAGTTCCCTCCAGTCTCTCTCTCTCTCACTGGTAGAAGATTTGGTGCTGCATATATTTGGCAGTCTTACTGACAGAATGCTCATATCACAAAAGTTTTGATGGATGCTTTACCAATGTCAAACTAGGAATCAAGGAGCATTACTAATCAAACACACACACACACACACACACACACAAGCTTCCCACAGATTTCTTTCTTTGACCCAGGGACTGAAGTCCTCAAATTCATCATGGCATACATTTACCATGTAACACAAAGTTTAGTTCACAAGGCCATCACAGAGCTTTTTGTCATCAATCTTTAGACTGAATTAAGACTACAACTGATGTAAATCTCCAATTCTAATTCAGTGCTCAAAACTCGTGCACCCTTGACCTGTTTGATAAAGAATGCGATGATGTGATCCCCAGAATGCTCATGATTCCTCATTACTTATGCATGCTACCCAGGTATATTTACAAACAAATCAAATACAAAGGCACTTCGTTATGAAAGCTGTGTTTGTGCTGCAAGCTGCATTTTTTTCAAGGAAACACAATGTATTGATCAGCCTCTGCCAGAACACATGAATCAAGCCACATCGCTGCCTCAGTCCAAAATGTGATACAACATCATGGCTGTTGCAGCTTGTGGAGATGCTTAATTCCTCCAAGCAGACACATAGGGCATAACAACAAATGTCCTGCTGAAGAAAACCCAGTGGAAAACCATGGCTTAATGAAACACATGAAATTGCAATGATATTCCAGTCTGTTTCTGCTCATTTCAATATCCTATCAATTTATTACATATGGCAATTCACACTATCCTGCCCTTAACCTGGAACTGTGGGAGCAGACAGTATTAAATGGGATATGGGAAAAAATCCATAAGGTGACCTAAACATCACATTCCTTGTTCATTTTCACTTCGGCATGACTCGCCCTCCCCTCTACCTAATGGTTCCCCTACATTTGACCAACTTAAAATAAAAAGACTGCATAGTGGAAAACACTCATGCAGCACATTCCAGAAGAAGCAGAAAAATGCCTAAAGAACATTCAAGATATTCACCTTGAACATTACATGGAGAATGAAAAAGTGACATAGCGGGATAGCAGCTAATACCATATTTCATATAAGTGCATATTTACTATTGCAAAGAAATAAAATGAGCTTCTGCAATGTTTGTGGTGTCACATAAGCCATTTTTTTCTGTAGTACTCATAGATATTACCATGAGTGACAAGGAAAATATTCTTTTCTTTGAAATGAAAGATGAATTATACCTAAAACTGTAAGGTAAAGCTGCAAGTGCTGCTGAATAACATTTTGGTGAAACAAGACTTCCCTATTTTCTAAAAATTCTCTAAGTATTTTCTGGACGTTGTGTTCTTTGTTCTCAATATGCATGGATATCACAGATCCCTGAAGAGTAGCAGAAACCAATTAGAAGCCTGTCAGATTTTTTTCCTTTGAGAAGCCTTAGACTTGCCAGCTGTGTCCTCATCCACAGAACAGCCCCTTTGTTTCCACTGCTCTACTGGGATCCACATGGACACAAAGCAAAACACAGACCCTCCTGTGACCTCTTCTTCCCCACCATACAGAAAGCTAATCGACCCTCTCAGTCTAGTTCTCCTTTCTTCCTTATTGATGTACCAGTATGCATTGGTTATTAGCCCATTTGCCCTTAACCAGCTATCAACCTTTTAATCTAAGATCCTGCTATATCAGTCTTGTCCAAACTCCAACTTCTACATGCTGCCTCCAAGTCAGCAGAAGGTAAAGGAAGTAACTGTAATTGAACTAGCAGCATCGTGCAGTATGATGCTAAGCTGTGGCCCTACAGCACCTGGTACCTAGGGGAAGTTTTCTGAGCTATGCTGCATAGATTATGCCATTTTGCACATCCCTTCTGGAAGTCCTGCATCTCTAATGCAGTAAGAGACTACAACTCTACATTTTAAAACAAGGAGAATTGGAAAATCACCACTTAAATTAAGTGGCAAGCTCCACTCACTTGGAGAGAGGAAAACTGACTGGTCCATAGGTTATGGTGCTGGCTGCCACCATGGCAATAAGCACCTTAAGAAACCACCTTTAAGTCAGTAATCTGAAATCCATGTCTCTGAGATGGGATGCCTGTCTCAGAGCCTTGTGGGGCATGAATTTGGTCTGGGTTCATCTTCCTCAATTCACTTATCAACTGGTACAAGAAAGAGAAGCTCAGCTGTGATCCATAAATATCCTGACCTTTATGTTGCCTGCTTGGTCAAAACAGGATTTCCATATTAAATAACTGACATGTATCCAATACCAGAAGGAAGGAATTAATTCCTATTCTGTCTCTGTACAATGCTTAACACAACAGCCAACAAGCAAAAATAAACCAAAGGAAAAGTAATACTCTGGAGAAGCACATGAAACTTAAAAAGACATATAGTTACAGACCACAGGTGACCATAGAGGTTTTTTCTTCTAGCTAAGAGATGAGCACACTGCTAAATATCAAATAAATAACATGGGCAAAGAGAGAGGAGAGAGAGAGACAGAGACGAGTAAAGAACTGTATCTAAACACAGCAGAATTCATTGTTAGTCACATAGGATATGTATTTCCCTGGCCAAGAAGTGTCCTAAGTTCCTCTTTAAATGGGTCCGGGATAAGCTGGCAGCACCTGAAAGCTTTAGGGACTGTGGAAGTTTTAAAATTTGTTGTAGGTCCATTAAGAGAAATTATGCAAAGTTAATTTGTACTCCTGAATCTCCAGAATTGAGGATATTTATCTTCGATAGAATTTAATACTTGACATTGCAGGTTTTCAAAGATTGCTGCAACTTTGGAACAAGTATTGTTAAGCTGAATGCATTTAAAACTTAGCTGAGCATAAATAATATCTGATTATGAAAAAGTATTATTTACAGTAATTTTGTGTTTTGCTGTTATCTCCAGTTACGTTCACACTAACACACACAGTTTAAGAGAAACAACATTGAAATATAGGAAGAAAAGCTAACGCAACTGATGTCTGACATCTCCAAATGCAATAGCAAAGACGTATATTAGAAATACAAAATGATATATCTTTTTAAACCTGAGTAGGTGCAATTTTGTAGAATTTACAGGAATATAAGAAAACTATGTTTACTAACAGGTTGGATAAAACCTGGTATTTTAGATAACCAGTACATTCATTTTATGCCACATCGATGATTTATTTTATTATCAAAGGCTGAACATATAAAGAGCAAGTCTTTCTGTCATCAAATCAATGAATAAATTTACTTCTTGGATCTGTTATATTAAATGTAGGGAAATGTGCTAAAAAAAGTTCCAGCAGAAATCCATACTTCTAAATTCTCAATTTACTTAAAAATTCACTATTTAAAAAAAAATAATCTCTGGAGATTTTTATACTTATTATACACACAGTTCTTCATTACCGCGGAAGAAAATATTTGCTGTAGAAACAATTTTGTGCCAAACATGTATCCAAAACAGAGGTGGCAGACAAGAACAAACAAGATCTGGGCATTAACATAGAATTTAACTTTTGAAAACAACTGGTTTGTCTTATTGCTGTATCGATAAAACCTTTACATTAACTCTTTTTCAAAGATCAGACAATATACTAGTATTAGAGCTGATGCTTAGTTCTTGAGAGGCAGCAGTAAAGAAACACCATCAAATCTATCTCTTGATAGCAGGAGAGCACAGAAATTGTAGAATTTCTTGAAATGTGCTTTACACCGAGTGAAATTAAACATCAGAAAATTCTATGCTATCATACACTGCTAAGCAACATCTTAGTAATACATTATTGTTCTGGTAAACCTGAATTTCAGAACTGATTTAAATCATTCCTTAGAATAGAAGGCATTGGTACAAGTATAAAGATGCAATTATTAAAAAGTTAGAAATGTAGAGTTTTATGTACATAATGCTTCTCCTTAAAGGAGAGATGTTTTCCATAGTACCTTTCCTCTGCAGCTCCACAGCACCAAAATGTACATTTTTTTTCCAAATCAAACCCTCCCTAATTCAGGTTTTACAGAAAAGTTTGCAAATGAAAACACAAAGCTAAAAACTGTAAAGTCATTTCCCAAGGCTCTTAATCATAGATAGCAGCATGGCAGTCATTCCTCTTCAACTATTTCTGATCAAACAAATAGACCATCCTGTCTGAATGCATGAAGCTTTTAATAAAAGACCCTTCAAAGCATTTAGAAACTAGCTGAAGAGAATTTGTTTAGAGGGACCCCTAAAAGGATGAATTCTAGAAGCAGTAGTGTCAGCTTTCCCTTACCTGTTTCACTCAGGCCAAGGAAGGAGCACATCATCTTCCTTCAGTGATTCAAAAAACATTGCCAGCAGGGCACAAAACCAGATGGATTTACTCACTGACCTAGAGACTGAAAAAAGAAAAAGAAAGTGAAGGTATGCTTTCAAATCCACAGCTTGGTGTATGTACCTGCTGTATATCAGGTCATTTCCACTCAGGTGGCACATCAGAGTTCATTCTAGCTACCCTGACAAAATATATGGGCAGCTACAGGAAATGTTGTTTGCTGTCAGGGCAAATTACTGTGCAGATCACCTCAATAGTTCCACCAGGATTTCCTAGAAAGCAATGGTATTACTGGAGGTGCCTCGGTTTCTGTCATTTGGTTTCCAAATACAGAATTTACATTGAAGAGCATTGAGCTATATAAAATGATATTCGGTTACATGGCAAAAGATATATGCCAGTTCATTTTCCTTTGACATTCCTTGCCTCATCAGCAGACAAAGGCTCCTTCTTCTTTGATCCCAGCCTTATATATTTGTCCTTAAGCTAATATATTGATCCTCATTGCTAAGCCAACCTATATCAATTCTTTAAATCCTGCTAGCCCTCGTTGCACCCATCTGTCCTCTTCTCTCACCCAAGAACAGGCTTCAAGGTGCACTTGGACCATTCCATGGGCAGCCTTTATCCTATGATCTGCCAAGTAATTGGTCCAATATAGAGATACAGAGATCTGGCACTGTTTTGCTGCATGGTAGCTGAATTTCACTTGGCCATCCCTTTGCTTATAGTCTGCTTAAGGATGACTTTAAGAAAATGTTTCCAGTTTGCACACTCAGAGGTTAAAATAGCTATGCTTTTAATTACTATGGAAAATTAACTTTCTGTTGGAAAACTGTGCTCTTTACTAAGGTCAAAACTCATTTGGACAGCAAAAACATTCAAAAGAAAAAAGATATAAGCATTCTAGAGATAACAGTAATAGCAAGGCAGAAGTTGCTCTTTTCTCTTTGTTGCAAATGTATTATTTCAGAAGACATTATCACTTGATAATAATGCTACCTCCATTGTATATAATGATAAATGGTAATTGCTTTTGTACTTCAGCATTTTTCACAGAACAATTTGGGTTCCAATGAATATATTAGTGACTCATTGCTGTAAACACTCTCCTTACATCTAGGCCTACAATGCAGAACTAGACAAAAAAGTCAGAGATAAGTATTTTATTCCTTGTTTCGATTTTTCTTTGAAATGAAAGAAGAAATTATTCAAGCACTCTCACTTTAATCCAGGCATGAGCAGTCTTCTGAGCCTTCGTAGCACATCTATAATTTCAGTTCCTCTTTAGATTTGTTTAGTGTTAGGCCTGTGATCAAAGAATACCATTTCTTTTGCATTCCCAAGCCTTCCCAATAATGTAGAATGCCAGAGTTTGTGGGATGAAGTAAAAAAGAAAGACCTCTGTTTTCCACAGGAACAACTTTATTCACAAAGCCTAAGTCATCCCACTACCCTCAGATGTCCCTTATGTAATAATCCACATAAAAGAATCCTATTTTTAAACACCTTCCCCCAGTTGGCTTATGCCTTTAACAATTGCTCTCCTTTGTTACCTCCGTTCTCTTGTAATTTTAAATACATTCTTCACACTGCTGAAGTCTCAGTGCAAGGACATTGAAGTACAACAATGCGTTGCCCAGGGTGCTGCTGGAGTCTACCACATCAGAGGTCTTTAACCAGGTTAGAGAATATCTGCCAGAAATGGTTTATGTACTGCTCATCCTGCCTTAAGGTAGAAGGACAGACTAAAAATTTTTCTATGATATGGCTGTCAACAGCATCTTTGTTCTTGCACTGACTAAAGATTTATGAAAACAGTAATCTGCTGTTTCTTTGGATTAAAGAATAGAGGTTGTGGACTCTGATACTGTCACAGTTCCTGTTACTGGGCTTCAGGTAACACTAACCTCTTTGATGTATTAGTGCAGCATTGTTCAGCCTGAGGAGCTGAATTTGATCACCACATCAGGCTGAACTGCTCTTCTGTACAAAGGACGTTGAGTGAATGAATGAGTGAATGAGCATCTTAACCTATCTAAGGTTCTGCTAAAGGACTAAAATAGTATTATAATGGTTTCTGGACCTTCCACTGATTATGTGATTTCTGTCTGTGCTGGGAGTCCATCAAGCCATATGCTTTCTTCAATAAAAGGCTTATGATTGCTTATAGCATATGTGATCATCATCATCTGAAAGATAAGAATTTCATATGAAGCATGCTTGAGAATAACTTCTGTAATAGCTTCTTGATGTTACATGATACCATATAATTCACTTCAATTACTACAAATTAAATAATAGTTTTTCCATAGCAATCCTGTTGTTTTTCCATATCGTAACCTGTTGCTGCTATTACAGAATACTGGCCAAGTGACCAGTGAGAAACAAAAGTGGTGTTAAATTCAACAGTAAGAAGCTGATATTTCATCTTCAATTTCCTTCTCAATTCAAATCAAAATGGCAACAGAGAGATGAGATTCAAAGAAGCTGTTAAGTTGTTGTATATGCAGTTATGAATGTAGTCATGCATTCATGTGACAAAAAACCAAAAACCACCTAGGAAAGATAGGTACAATGTTACTTATGTCATACATGCTATGCCATGTATTTCTGCTGGTTCTTTGTTAAAAAAAAAAAAACCAACAAAAAAACAAACAAAAAAAAACACAAACAGAAACAACAAAACCATGCCACAATTTGATACAAAGCAAGTAAAAATACCTTGTTTTACATAGAAAATTCCTTACACACACACACTTTTAGAGATTTCCAGTTTCTTTTTTTCCTTCTCTAACAGCTATGAAAAAGGTTTTCCACAACCCTGTAAAAATCTTCGCTATAACTCTTTCTGCAGATACAATAATATCCCTCACAGACCGGACAAACAGGACCAAATGATATTTTCAGAGTGTCTAAGGTTTTTCAGAGGCTGAGACCTTGAACAACTCAAAGTTCCATGAGTCTGGTATTAATGACCTTTGCATTTGTTTATTATCTGTAGACAATACTAATTTGCTGAAAGAGAGACTGTCAGAATTATGTGCACATTATTCTCAGTGAGGATGTCTGTGCCTGTGTCTGGTCCTTCAGTGGAAGAGCTCACTTGGTTATCTCAACCACTTCTTGCAGAATAAATCTGTATCTGTCTCTCTATGGGATCTTGGCTAGCCTTGCACTGAATGGGGCCTCTGAAGTTGATAGAAGGAACAAAGAATGAGATGCATCAAGATAGTTAATAAAGAAAACCACTTTTTCTCTGACCCAATTATGTTTAAGCCAGAAAGAACTACAGATATTGAATCTACAGCTTGATGGTTAGAACATTTGAGAGACTGTAATTCAGGACAAGTTAGAGAAATCTATGTCTGTTTGTACTACACGTGCTTAACAGCTATTCAGTTTGTTAGTCTGGATTAATTCTCTTTTCCTAATCCTCATATTTCACATATCTCTCCTCTCTTGTCATTACTCTTCATGTTAATAGTTTCAGACAGTCTCCCTTTGGCTCTGCCTCAGGAGACAAAGAACAAGATATTGATAATTTTTCTATTAAAGACAATTTTAGTTTTCACAAACTCAAGGCTATTTCTGAATGAAATTTAGGCTCATGCTCATGAATATTCACCAATACTTACAGATATCTATTTAGTTTTAGGAATGCCTTTTAAATATCTGCTTTAAATTTGCTTTGTCAGATCCAAAGGAGATAATCTGCACAGAATCCAGTGTATCATCTTTGAAGGGCTGAAGGGCAGCTGCGGTTTACCCACTGGCAGCTAATTGGGATCACTGCTTTTAGAATTCATCTGCATCCTTCTGCCAATATAATTCTTTGTGTCATCCCCATAAAGCCATCAGAATGTCAGGAGAGATTAATTTGCTTCCCCAAGATTAAAGCAGTGAACGCATCAATTTAATCGAGAGCTTTGTGACATAGTCTCTTAATCATCATCACAGCAGAAGGGTTATATTCCAATAAGAATTTTATAATTGTTAAGCAAAAGGTGGAAAAAAAATTGACTGTTTTCCAGTTTGGCAGGTTTGTAAATAGCTGCTGATAAGAGCAAACAAAGTGTTCTTATTGCTTTTATCAGTTCTCCACTTCAACACATCAGCCCTGTTTTGTCAACAGGAATAATTCAGCTGAGCTACAGAAATGTGACTCTGAATGCATACATCTCCACCAGGAAACCCTCTCCCAGTGCTTTATGACAGCAACCATATTGCTCTGGTGTTCTGTTGAGTAAACAGATATAGTATAAGAGCACTGAACTTTGAATCAAATAGGTATCTACTGTTGTCTACCCTGGAACTGGTGACATCTTGCATTAGCATGGCAGGCTGGGAAATGCCAGCTGCCAGGTAGCTGCAGGAATTCCACTGACCCTGTTCCATACTGCTGCTAGCAGAAAGGACAGACAGCCTCCCTTCTGTCATGAAGATCAGAGAACGCTATGTCATAACGTAGTAGAGGAATTAATCTCAGAAAGTTTGAAAGTTTAGATAAACCTCTCATTTTCCCACCATACACTGCAGGGATTACTCTTCTTTTCTCCCATCCATATTGTTTCTGCTCATAGAAGCCCTTCCCTTTCAGAACTTTATCCAATTCACTTCACTCTTCTCACTGACCCACCTACGTCGGCTGAGAAACACTCTCTGTGCAAAACAGCATGCCCATCTCTGATTGTCCCTCCTTCTTTCACAGAGTAGTCAGTTTGAGTGGACTCTGAACAGGAAAAAACACAAGCACACCATCCTTGGCTTGTTTTCCAGATAGTTCACCCATGTCAAATTAATATGGACAATATTTCTATACCTGGGGATCCTGCATTGTTTGGCCTTCAAGTATTTTTTTTCCCTTTGTATGGCTTTCCTGATGTATCAGAGATGGAGCTGCTAGAACCAGGAGCCAATCTAGAGTTCATGGAAGTTACAGATCAGTAGTGCTAGCATGAGACTCCTTGGCACTGTACAGAAGCCATGCTCTGCTTTGTTGCTGCATCTCAATTATGGGACACACCTGCTGTCCTAGTCCAGCTTCTCCCTCAAGGGGAGCCT